AAAGGCCTACGTGCAAGAAACTGAGGGCAACCTCCAGCCAAACAGCCAGCTAGAAACTGAGGCCCTCGGTCTAAAAGTCCTAGAGGAAATGAATTCTGCCAACAACCACATAAGCTTGGAAGTAGCTCCTTTCCCAGTTAAGCCTTCAGATGAGACCCCAGGTGTGGCCAATACCTCAATTTCTGCCTGGTGAGACCTTGAAACAGAGGACTCAATTAAGCCACACCCAGACTCAATTCCTACACCACAGAAGCTATAATACATGTATTGTTTCAAGTTGCTAAGTTTGTGGTTTTGTTACACAGCAATAGATAACTAATAAAGGGCCTTAGCACTTTCCATTCCCAGGCATACTTATCAATGGCCTTCCCTCAGGGCATGCTGGAAGTGCTTGAGGAATTAACACCCCTGGGGATCAGCCCTCAACCATTAACTTTCAGGAGTAAACACCCCAGCTCTCTCATCCTTGAGTGTTGGGAGGACAACTCTGAGATATGTTCTACATTATCTCCCAGAGTGCCTCAGCCTCAGGAACTTCTTCAGTCATACATTTTTAGTGGAATTGCTTTTCTTCTCTGTATCACTTTCTCACTCCCCTAACGGTGCTACCAGGGCTTGCCTCCCAACTAAACTGCTTACAGTCCAATCTTTGTCTCAGGGTCTACTTTTGGGGGGAACCTAATTTAAGACAGGATAGAGGGGAGAAAGACACTGCTTTCAAAGCAAAGCAAATGATAAATTCTAAGTCTAGCTCCCCTGAAGACAGCACTGTCCCAATAAACGAGAGTTCAGCCAACCCTGTGGCTGAGGCCTGCTGTGGAACTGAACTGAACCAGGAGTCCAGGGCCTGGCAGTCCAGTCTCAGTTCCAGTGACTATGTGGCTTCAGGAAAGACCCTGATCCCTGGGTCTCACTCCCTGACTGTAAAGAGAAGGTAACAGTTTCTGCACTCCTACCACCCAGGGTTCTTGTGAAGACAAAATGGGACACCAAGTGAAAGTACTTAGGGTCTTACTACTGATTAAAATGAGACAACCAGCAACTATAACTCCAGCCACACCAGGGAATAACCATCTGGAGGAGCACGGCATCATGTATGGTAGGCAGAGAGGCCTAGACACCAGTTCCCACACTCATATTAGTTCCAGACCTCAAAGGCTGTGGATAGAACTGTTTGGCCACGGTGATATGTAAGTCCCGCTGGGGGAGTCCCCCATGGACCCAGGATTAAATGCATTATTCCTCTTGCTAACCAGTGCCAAATTGAGTCCAGCTCATGGCAACCCCATGTGTGTCTGAGTAAAAGTGTGCTCCATAGTGTTTTCAATGGCTGATTTTTTAGGGGTAGATCACCATGTCCTTCTTCGAAGGCACCTCTGGGTGGACTCAAACTTCCAACCTTTTGGTTAGCAGGTGAGCACGTTAACCTTTTGCACCACCCAGGGACCCCATTCCTCCTCCTAGCCCCTTGGAATCCACGAGAAGTTTTCCAGAATGGAGACTACTTTTCAGTGATAACCACTTGCCCTGCAGGGTTTATTATTCTGGAACTGTTATTCCTGGAGGTTGTCAAAGCTTTTAGAGCCTGTCTTGAAACTTAAGGCTGATGTCTCAAACAGAATTAGGAATTTTGTTCTTGGGACCATGATTATCTCAGCTACCTGATGTCCCTCAGGCAGCCTAGAGCCAGCAGATGGCTCTCATTCAGATTCCACATAGGGTGCGTACAACTCACATCCCTATGGGCCTCTGTCCTTACCCTTAGACTCAGCTTCATAGAGTGTCACTTACAAAAGAAATAAACACCACTGCCTATTCCTTGAAAAGTTCTGCAAGTCTCTGAAGAGATGGCAAAGGGAGGGAGCAGAGGGAATTATATTTCATTCTCTTTATTCAACTTAGTCCTATACCAATGGAAGTTGTCCTGGAAAATTCCTAACCCTTTTCTAATTTTTCAGTGCTTTGCTTCTATGGGTATCTCTGTTTCCTTTAATGAAGAACGTTGGCCTCTCCTCAGTCTTTCTTCCGTTATTCTTCAGTTCCAACCACTGTCCCCCAGAGAAGACAGCAAAAGGTCCAAAACCCAGTATACAAACAAAAATCTTCCTTAGAGGTGAGGCTGAAGGGAAAGGGCTGTGATCTTTTAGCATGTGTGTGTGTACCACACATACATGTAAGGAGGTTCTAGGTATTGCCATGAGGCATTTGGAATTTTAACCAGCTAGTCTCAACATTTGTCAAAGCAGTTCTACCAGCTTCTAGTTTTGTGACTTTGTACAAGTCTTTTAATCTTTCTGTACTTTGCTTTCCTTATCTGTAAAACAGGGATAATGGTACCTATCTAGTTGTGAGACAAACTGTTGTTAGGTGCTGTCGAGTCAGTTTTGACTCATAGTGACCCTATGTACAATAGAACACTGCCCAATCCTGCACCATCTTCACAATCATTGCTATATTTGAGCCCATTGTTGCAGCCACTGTATCAATCCACCTTGCTGAGGGTCTTCCTCTTTTTCAATGGCCCTCTCCTTTACCAAACATGATGTCCTTTCTCCAGGGACTGGTCCCTCCTGACAACATGTCCAAAGTATGTGAGACGAAGTCTTGCTATCCTCGCTTCCAAGGAGCATTATGGTTGTACTTCTTCCAAGACAGATTTGTTCGTTCTTCTGGAAGTCCATGGTATATTTAACATTCTTTGCCAACACCGTAATTCAAAAGCATTAATTCTTCTTCAGTCTTCCCTATTCACTGTCCAGCTTTCACATGCATTTATGAGGTGATTGAAAATACCATGGATGGGGTGAGGCACACCATAGTCCTCAAAGTGACATCTTTACTTTTTAACACTTGAAAGAGGTCTTTTGGAGTAGATTTGCCCAATGCAATATGTCGTTTGATTTCTTGACTGCTGTTTCCATGGGTGTTGATCCAAGTAAAATGAAATCCTTGACAACTTCAATATTTTCTCCATCATGATCTTGCTTATTGGTCCAGTGGGGAGGATTTTTGTTTTCTTTGAGGCGTAATCCATACTGAAGGCTGTATTCTTTGATCTTCATCAGTAAGTGCTTCAAGTCCTCCTCACTTTCAGTAAGCAAAGTTGTGTCATCTGCATATTGCAGGTTGTTAATGAGTCTTCCTCCAATCCTGATGCCACATTCTTCTTCGTATAGTCCAGAATCTTGGACTATTTGTTCAGCATAGAGACTGCATAAGTATGGTGAAATGATACAACCCTGACACACATTTTTTCTGATTTTAAACCATGCAGTATCCCCTTGTTCTGTTCGAACGACTGCCTCTTGGTCTAGGTACAGGTTCCACATGAGCACAATTAAGTGTTCTGGAATTCCCATTCTTCACTATCTTATCCATAATTTGTTATGATCCACACAATCGAATGCCTTTGCATAGTCAACAAAACACAGGTAAACATCTTTCTGGTATTATCTGCTTTCAGCCAAGATCCATCTGACATCAGCAATGATATCCCTCATTCTACATCCTCTTCTGAATCCAGCTTGAATTTCTGGCAGTTCCCTGTCAATGTACTGCTGCAACCATTTTTTAATTATCTTTAGCAAAATTTTTCTTGCATGTAATATTAAGGATATTGTTTGATAATTTCTGCATTCTGTTGAATCACTTTTCTTTGGAATGAGCACAGCTATGGATCTTTTCTGGTCAGTTGGCCAGGTAGCTGTCTTCCAAATTTCTTGGTATAGACGAGTGAGCACTCCCAGCATTGCATCCTTTTGTTGAAACAGCTCAACTGGTATTCTCTCAATTCCTGGAGGCTTTTTTGCCAATGCCTTCAGTGCAGCTTGGACTTCTTCCTTCTGTACCATCAGTTCTTGATCATACGCTACCTCTCGAAATGATTGAACATCAACCAATTCTTTTTGGTTCAGTGACTGTGTATTCCTTCTATCTTCTTTTGATGCTTCCTGCATCGTTCAATATTTTGCCCACAGAATCGTTCAATATCGCAACTCAAGGCTTGAATTTTTTCTTCAGTTCTTTCAGCTTGAGAAATGCCGAGCGTGTTCTTCCCTTTTGCTTTTCCAACTCCAGATCTTTGCACATTTTATTATAATATTTTACTTTGTCTTCTCGAGCTTTCCTTTGAAATCTTATGTTCAGTTCTTTTACGTGATTATTTCTTCCTTTTGCTTTAGCTACTCTATGTTCAAGAGCAAGTTTCAGAGTCTCTTTTGACATCCATTTTGATCTTTTCTTTCTTTTCTGTCTTTTTAATGACTTTTTGCTTTCTTCATGTATGATGTCCTTGATGTCATCCCACAACTCATCTGGTCTTCTGTCATTACTGTTCAATGCGTCAAATCTATTCTTGAAATGTTCTCTAAATTCAGGAGGGATATACTCAAGTTTGTACTTTGGCCCTCGTGGACATGTTTTAATTTTCTTCAGCTTTGACTTGAGACAAGTTAACATACATAAATCATGGAGAACAGAACCCAGCATGTATTAAGTACTGTGTCTTTGTGAGCTATTGTTATAAAGATGAAGATTGTCTGTGCTCAAAATGCCTGGGTGTCTAACTTGCACAAAGGTGCCATATGACTTTAGTTGGGTTGTTCAGAAAGCCTTGAAAGTTCTCACTCCCCTTGGCCAAAGCTTACAACTCCACAGTCTTCTGGCTTAAGTTTTTATTCCTACTTAAGGTTAATTCCCTTGGGAAGGGTAATAGTCACTTATTCCTCAAAGTTATCAAAAGAGATGAACTAACAGATGTTAGGTGTAGATCTCAGAGAGGATGAAGATGGAAACTCTAAAAAGTGGAAGGAGGTTTGGCGGGGCAGGGGAGGGGGAGGGGGAGGGGAGGGAGAGTGAAAGCTGAAGGCCCTGAAACCTGTTTCTTCAAATCATGAAGTTAAGGATAAAATAGAGTTGAGTCAATATGTGACAAGCAAAGACATTTAAAAAACTGTTAAATTTTGAATTATCACAAAAATTATTTTATAAAGAGACTCCAAAACTTTCAAGACTGCATTTTTTTGCCTCTAGAAGGTAGCTTTGGGCCTTTTCACTTTTCATACTTGGGGGAGGCTGAAACAGAGAAGAAAGTCCATTGTAAATGGCTAAAATACAAGAACAGATAGTTCACAAAAAGAAATACAACTAATAAGCAAAAATGTGAAACATTTAACTTCACCACTAACCAAAGATGTTTACATTTAAAGATACCACTTTTTTACTGACTAAAATTCCCTCATTTTAATGTATCCCATTGTTGGCAAGGATGTGATGAAATCGATACTCTCACATAGCTTTCGGGATTATAAACTGGCACCATATATCAAGTCATAGAATGTACCTACCTGTGACTCAGCAGTCCTGCTTCTGGGAATTTATCCTGAAAAAAACAAAATAGAACAAAATGCAGAAAGGTCTAAACATATCCGGTTATTTGCCATGCTTATGAGAACTTAAATTCCCAACAATTAGAAAATTGTCCTACTTGATGGACCATTAAAACTTGTTATAAAAACTATATTGTAAACTCTAAACGTGCCAGTGATAGAATAAGAAAAGACTAGGACACAGTGTTATGTATCCTACGATAATTTCTTCATTTAGTTGTAAGAAAAAATATTGGAAACATTTTTTTCTATTCCTATTAGCGGTTCTACTATGATGGTAAGATCATTTTGAGTCTTCTCAATTTTTCTGAAACCTCAACTTAAAGAAAAATTAAATCCAGGACTGAAAACTAAAGCTACTCAAGTGATGGTCAGGTAGTTCAGATATTAGAACCCATGAAATATATCACTAATGATAATAAAACATTGCAATTAAATGCTTTAATTTAGTTTTAAAATTTTACCTGTTTTCTAGCCTACTTTCATTTACATTTCAAAAAATGGGTTTTGTAAGAATTAAAGACAGCTAAGGAACAGTGGTTAAGCACTTGGCTGCTAACTGAAAGGTCAGCGGTTCAAACCCACCAGCCGCTCCACAGGAGAAAGATGTGGCAGTCTGTTTCCGTTAAGATTACAGCTTTGGAAACCCTATGGGGCAGTTCTATTCTGCCCTATAGGGTCTCTATGAGTCAGAATGAGCTTGACGGCAATAGGTTTTGTTTTTTTTTGGGGGGTGGGGTGTGTAAGGGACTCTGGGGGATCAATGATAGAATTCTCACCTCCCATGTGGGAGGCAGGGGTTTGATTCCTGGCCAATGCACTTCATGGGCACCACCACCCCTCTGTCAGTGGAAGCTTGTGTGTTGCTATGATACTGAACCTCTTTCAGCAAAGCTTCCAGTCTAAGACAGACTAGGAAGAAAGATCTGGTGATCTACTTCTGCAAATCAGCCAATGAAAACCCTATAGATCACAGTGGTTTGATCTGCAACAGATCATGGGGATCATTGTGCATGTGACTGCAGTGAGTTAGGGCCTGACTCAACAGCAGCTAATAACAACAAAGGGTTTAACACTATTACTCATATCTTCTACCCCAACGTGTCATTGATTCACTGGATACTGGAGAAGTTACTTAAATTCTTTTCCTTAGTTCCGTTACGTGTAAAATGGGTAAAATTGTTTGTATATCACAGGGTAGTTGTGAAAATTAAATAGGTTAATATATATAAAGTGCCTGGCACAAAACAAGTATCAATAATTACTATTTTTTCCCTAAACTTAGTCAAGTCTCCACTATACAACGTGATCAAGCGTACTCATTTTTTAGTTCATTAAACGCATACCTTTTGTATGAAACAAAATTTTTAACTTTTTACGTATCTAGAATGTTTTAAATTTAAGAAATTCATATATTACTATGCTTATCTGGAAGGTTAAAAGATCCTTGAATCCTACCCAGCCTAAAGTCTAGTTACATTGTAAATCATTGTTTTAGGTGTTAGCTGGAAAAACCCAGCAATGTAATATTTAAGTATCAGAAAAAGAAAACTTGCTGAAGTTTATCAATGTTGTCTTATTCTCTCAGTTCATTAAGAAATGCCTGTTCTCCTTACCTAAGCCAAGGAGTTTAAAGTTCAAGAAGAGGGTGGCCTGAGGAATAGAAACCCAGCTTGTGCTCAACTCCTGTTGCTCCCGCTGTTGGTTGTGTACCTGGATAATCTGACATATTATCCAATGTACTTTTCCTCTACTTATTGAGCCAGAGCTTGAGTACAGGGAGAGGAGAGACAGATACCAACAAGAAATCCTAGCTCACTCAGTTTTAGACCTCAGCCCCCAGTCTAACAATAGTCTGAATAGTAAGGCTTTCATTAACATAAAATGGCTTTGTTGAAAGGAGAAAAATGAACATTTGGCTTTCAGTGGACCAGAGTTTAGATGGCTGCTCATTAAGTAGTCACAGAGCAGGGAATAGGCAAGATATGATGTGGAGAAATCTTCCTACAACCAAAAATAAAGATAAAGGTTGAAATGGCAGGAAGGAGTTATTCCCAATGTATAGATGTTGACGGGATCCCTGGCAAGTCCTTGCCACCCTGGGCCTTGACCTAGGGTGGGATGGGAAGAGTTACGTAAGATAATAGAAACCCAAGAAAAATAAAGTAGAATCTGAGTAAAGCAAGGATTTGCACCCTTCTCAGGATGTGGCCTCTCAGAGGAGGTCACAAGTTATATGGGTCTAAGGACAGCCTCATAGCCCCTGTTGGTTGTGGGGAAAGCCAGAGGGACCAGAAGACCCCTAGAATTCAAGTGAAGAAGTTCTAGTAGGTCTGTCCTAGAGAGAAGTAGCCACAGTGAAGCCATGGAAATCCATAGTGAATGCCAGCTCAAGACTGAGGAGATCAGAGGCAGGATACACATAGGTGCTCCCATTTCAGCCTCCATAAAACATACTCTCCGCTGAACCTAGGGATAGGAGAAGGGCAGGGGAGACCACTTAAGAGGCAAAGAGCTCCCACAGGAAATCTGAATGTTGAATTGACTGAGTTTAAATCCTGAATGTGATTCAGTATTTACTCAAAGAAGTTTGACCTTAAATGAACAAGATAAAGTTTTCCTACCATATGTATCACAAGAGTCTGATGGGTAGCTCAAGAACAAGTGGAGTACGCATAGAAAATAAGTTACATTTCTTCACATCTAAGTTGTGCTCATAACTTCACTGTGGCGTCTCAGCCAAGACCTGGAGACAGACCCTACATTATGGCCACAGCCACACCTTCTCTAGCCTGGAAGGAGAGCTACACAGATCTTCTGGCAAATGAATGCTCCTTATGATAAATAGGTCTTTGGTCACCAAGCCAGATGTAGTCAGGTGTAGTCTCTTCCCTTGGGGGCCTGGAACACACTGTACAAATCAGGAGGACTCTCTCACTTGGCTCCTCTCACCCCAGTCCACCTCCAAGAGGCAGGTGCCCAGGCCTGTCTTTCACACTAGGAGTGCCGAAAGCACACATTCCAAGAGGGAAAAACCTTTCAAAAAGAAGAGAATGATCCAAAAAGGACCAGAAGAGTCCCTAAAATCAGCCAGTTGTATTCATAAATCCTTTGTTCTCCCACTAGAAGATCTACCTTTAACCCTGTGTCCTTGGAGTCCTTTTTGTCCCTTACCTGTTCTGGATAACCCAGGAATTAGAATAGGGGTAAAGTATGGGGGGGGGGACATGTTGATTTCCCACAGGGGCTAGATTATGTGGTCCTAGCATTTGTGCTTTCTGCTAACCCAAAAAGCTGTCTGTCTCAAGAGAGCTCAGAAGCACATTAGAGAAGTCCTGCCTCTACCTCTGAGAGACCCTTCTACTCAGTTCTTGCCATTCTCCTCTGTATCCACCTGGGACCAAATGAGATGGGCCTTTATAAAGCCTTTTATAAAATCACCTATAAATATTTCCTCTAGAAGACCACTAGAATAGATGAGGACCAGCTTTAATTAATTTAACTATAAGGCCATTATATGTCAGAGAAATAGAAAAGAAAGGAATTATTGGCTTTCTCAAATTATGCTCAGCTTGCTGATAGGTCAGGTAGCACTCACTGGGTATAGTTCTTGTCACAAACGTATTGAACTTTACACACACACACACACACACACACACACACACACAAAGAGAGAGAGTAAACCTACTTCCATGATCAATTAAATCTTTTGTCCTCCTAGAAAAAGCAGAGTTCCAACAAAAGGAATCTCTCGTCTTTTATTTTCACAAAGAAACATAAATTTGTCTTCCCTCTAACATGATCAGATTCAGCCTCAAGCATTTTCATGGGATGTCTCGTTGGATCTCTTCCTCAAGAGCTGCAGCCAGAAGAATCTGCCACTGGAGGTGGCTTCACTCCAAAGTCAGATTGATCCTACCCTATATGCCCTGGATGTCTCATCTCACTTTTCCAAAGTTCCAGAGAATCTCCAGCCCCAGTCCCTAAACCCTTAAAGCTTAGAAAACACAATCAAGTCCCAAAGCCAATGAATCACTGGGGCAGCCTTCCCTCTGAGCCCCAATGCCCTTAAGTCTGGCTGCAAAGAAAAAAAAAAAAAAATTCTGAACAGGTAAAATATGCTTATGCGATGCATTAAGCGGTGGTAAGAACTTGACAAACCAGACAGCACCCACCCCATCAAAAGGAAAATTCAGTTTTTAAAAAATACTTTGCTGGTCAAACTCATACGAATATGGCACAGGCACAATCCTAGACCCACAACACTACTGTGGTAGAATTATTGCTGTCCCACGTAGCTACCAGCCGGGGGAGATGCGAGACGGAAAAGCTTCTGCGCTTTTTCAGGGTGCTAATAAATTCATGCCAATTAGCCGACGTTGTTGTTAGTTGCCATCCAGTCGGTTCAGACTCATGGTGACCTTGTATACAACAGAAGGAAATGTTGCCCAAGTCCTGTGCCATCTTCATGATGGTTGGTATGTTTGAGTCTATTTTTGCAGCTATTGTGTCAATCCACCTTACTGAGAGTTTCCCTCATGTTTGCTGACCCTCTTCTTTACCAAACATGATGTCCTTTTCTAGCCATTGGTCTGTCCTGATGATGTGTCCAAAGTAAACAAGCGAAAATCTCTCCATTATTTAAACCATCTCATTTCAGAGCTTTAAATGGTATCAGGAGAAATTTCCCCCCAGTGAATTCCAACACAGATTACCACAAACTGGAGAAGGGGTAGTGGGATCTATACCCACACAGGCTACCTTCTCTCAGAAACTCTTTTCAAGGAACACTCTCTAGACATGCCAAAATTTAGAAGTGTATGATGGCAGCATATTCAGGTCCCTGTAACAGATACTTACGCTCATCCATATGTCCCTTTCCAAAGCCCCTCTGACCCCAGTACTCTGGGCATCTCCCTCCAAAACTGAGGTTTGTCTTCTTCCAGGAACACAACCTCTACAATATCACAGGCAACTCTGAACAAAATTCATG